TCTGAATCACGGGATGCATTTGTACTAGAAGTTTGAGTGCTCTGTTTATTGGCCTGAAAAAACAGATTATTAGAAATCTGATTTGGATTTTCAGAGTTTAAAACTAAAAATGGTTTTTAGTTTATGGTTTTTAATTTTTTTAAAACTCTGTTTGAGTTTAGCTTTGCTCTGTCACAACAAAAATAAGGTTTATTGGTGTGGGAATGGGATGAACCACCTGGAGATGACACCCACCTCTCCCCAGCGGTTACAGAGAGCAGAGGTGGGACTGTGGACTGGGCTGGGACACCTCTTACCAGCCCAGGCAGGGTGAGATGAGTCCCAGCCTAATCTGCAGACAAGTACAGAGTTGGTCGTGATTACAAGAAAAAACCAAAGCAACATTTCCTTCTTGGCAGCAGATCACGCGCCAGACTGCGTGTTTCTCTTGACAGGCTTGGTCTTACCTCTCTCCCTTGAAAAGAGGAGAGGGGAATTGTACAAAGTAAATTGTAAAAGTAAAACCTCTTATTCTCAATATAGCAAAGTAGTTTTTTACTAAAGGGGGGAAAAAACCACCAGAAAACCGAAGCCAGATGAGTCTTGCAGAGGAGGAGTGCCGCGTGCCAGCCCCAAGCTCTGCTTAGCGGCCGATCTGTGCCCGCGAGGAGTATGACAGTGCACTAATTGTTGCTGCCTCTCTTCCTGCAAAATTCTTTTTCCTCATTCCAGCTGGAACTTCTTAGAGACAGGCTGTTTGTTTCCTTGGCTGGATTTAAATATTTGTATCTGCATCAAATCAGATAAGTCAGAAAGTTAAATTCTGAACTTCCCATGGAGCTGTCAGTTTAATTTATCCTTTGAGTTGGGCTTGTGCTCTGCAACAGTAAATTAGAATCTCTGCAATTAAACACACTGTTGCACAAAGGAAATTAGGCTGAACGCAGCTGGAAGTTAATAATCCTTTTAAATGGTGATTCAGTTCTAGGCGGTGCAGGCTGTTGCTGTGGCTCTGGGCTGAGGGAGTTGTCCCTGCGGGTCCCGGCAGCGGGGTGGGCTCCGGTCCCGAGCGGCAGAGCCTGTGACGAAGCGCATTTGTTATGCGGCCACCTCGCCCTTCCTTCTCTGCTTTCCTCCCTGCGAAACACGAGTGGAAATACTGGAGGCCTCCGGAAGGTTTATAAGACACGTGAAGTGACGTGGAAAAAAACGCAGTGGGAAGAAAATGCTGTTTGCTTTAAGAGAGCAGAGCCCTGTCCCTCGGCCGGGGCAGCCAGCGCTGCCACCGCAGCAGTGTCACCTCGCCGCAGCAGTGTCACCTCGCCGCAGAGCCAGGCTGCCAGGGGGAATTGCACCGTGCTCCACGTGTGCTGGAGAAGGTGCTGCTGGGGTGGCCAGGGCACGGAGCTCTGTGCAGGAGACGTCAGACACGGTTCATAGCCAGGACCTGGGTGCAGCTGGGTGTTCTGATGTGATTCTCTTTGAAGGATTCCTTGCCCCCTAGGAGATGTTGTAATCGTCTTAGTTGGCAGCTAATTGAAGCCCTTAAGCAAGACTGTTTTCTCTTCTGTGTTCCTGTCACTATGGTACCTGAACACCTTCCAGTTTCAGGGGTTATTTTCTGTTGTGTGTTCAGTATAAGATGCCATCCAGGTGACGTGCTCCCCAGGTGACTCTGGGACAGCCGAGCAGCTCCTCAGCAGCGCAGCTGCGGCCAGGCAGGTTTCACATCACACTGCACATCCTGCTTGTTTGCCAGTTTCCCCACTACAACCAGAGTCAAGTGCTGACTAAATAATAATAATGTGCTTACAAAACTGTAGGTAAAGCTGAGCCTCCCAGAGCCTGCAGAAGGCAGAGGACAGTCCTTAGAAGCTTGCGAAGCAGAGTGCTGCTGTGATCCAAACCGCTGCGTGTGCTGCTCGGATGCTGGCAGAAACACTGGGGGGATGTTCTGTGGTGACAGAGGTTGGGCCCTAGTCCTGCAGAGGGGTATTCACTCTGACTTTGCTTACAAATTTGTGGAAGTAATTTGCCAGTCCTCCGTGCTGCTTGTGGTGTTAAGAGAAAGAAAATAGCTGTGGTGAACTTAACGACAGGTTGGTGATATTACAAATGATTGATTGCCCCAGGAAGGGCAGAATTCCTTCGTGCTGCAGGAGCTGGGGCTGGCATTGCACCCCACACCCCTCTGGCTCGACGGGTATTGCAGCAAAGCCACTGACCAACACTGGCTGAAAACCTGCCTCTTGGGCCAGGCCTGTAGTCTTCCCAGGAATCACCCAGATAAATGTTGGTTGCAAACCAGTCTTTGGATTTTTCTGGTTGTGTGCACTTAGAGAAATGTATAAATGGTGGCAAAAGCCATCTAGAAGTCACAAGGCTGCTTGTGTGAAAGGCCTTTTGCTGTCACCTGAACTGTAGATCAAGTAGCCAGAGCAGTATTTTACCAGCATAAAATAGTATAGCATCTTCCTGATGGAACATAAGAAATACCGTCTGTGTGATGATACCTTCCCCTTGCAAGGCTGGGGCAGGTGCTGGACTGCAGCTCCCTCCCTGCTCCTCACAGTGAGAGGAAGCAGCACCTTACAGTTTCTGTGGTCTGATGCCTTTCTCAGGAGCAAAAATAGGATGTTCATACTAAAAAAAGATCATGATGTACTGGACTCAAGGTAATGGACATCTCTCTAGATTCCCAAGTAAATGACTGCATTGTTCATTCTGAGGGAAGTGTGCCTAATTTCCTCCTGTGATTACAAACGTGGGCTTCCTCAGCTGAACTGGCTTCAGATGGCCCTCCTGTGGCCTCAGCCGACCTGCTGGCGAGGTCACCGCTGCCCAGATCAATGTTATTTTCCTTTGTCATGTGTAACTGCTTTAGACTGAAGTTAAAGCAAGGACAAAAGTTCATAGGGCTCAGATCATTGTCAGGTGGAAA